GCTGAACTGAAGAGACTTGGCCTCTGAGCTCCTTGTTTCACCTGCCTGCCTGGAAACCCTGGAATCCTGGCTCCCATGGAGGCAGACACCAACTCCCCAATGCAGCACAGCACGTGCAAACCCACAGAGGCAGAGATAGCTCCTTACAGATGGTTAGCTAGCGGCAGGTCAGTTTCCCATGAAAGACTGGTGTCCATTTTCTCTGCTCCAGAACAAGCATTTCCCGTAGCTGAACATCAGGCGAGACAAACCCATTAGGAGGCAACGCTTTTCTTTTACCAACCTGCCCCAAGGACAGCATTCAACTTTGCCCCTGCATTTCTTTGCGGCTGCCGCTCCTACCTTGCTGGTGGTTCGAAGTGAAGCCAGGGCAGCCTGGAACTTGTGGTGATCTTTGGCATAAATGGCATAGAGTTGAAACTTCTCCCCCTGTGAGGCAGGAGAGAAAAAGGTTCTCTCAGTCTAGGAAATCTGATGACTGCGACACACCAAAGCAAAATCTGGAGAATGTTAGAGAGATCATTCCTTCTTTCTCGCCCCTCAATTTTTTTTAATAAGAAAGTGCAAACTGGAGATGGTCAGAAAGAAGAAGAGGAGGAGGAGGAGGAGGAGGAAGAGGAAGGAGAGGAGAAGGAGTCTGACAAATTGGTTTTATACCCCATTCTTCACTACCTGAAGGAGTCTCGGAGCAGCTTACAATCACCTTCCCTTTCTCTCCCCACAACAGACACCCTGAGAAGTAGGTGGGGCTGAGAGAGCTCTGAGAGCTCTCAGATGGTACAATCGATGGTACGTCCTCATTTGGAGTACTGTGTAAAGTTCTGGTCACCACACCTCAAAAAGGATATTATAGCATTGGAAAAAGTGCAGAAAAGGGCAACTAGAATGATAAAAGGGTTGGAACACTTTCCCTATGAAGAAAGGTTAAAGCGCTTGGCTCTTTAGTTTGGAGAAATGACGGCTGAGGGGTGACATGATCACAGTTTATAAGATTATGCATGGGATAGAGCAGGTAGAGAAAGAAGTACTTTTCTCCCTTTCTCACAATACAAGAACTCGTGGGCACTCCATGAAATTGCTGAGCGGTCGGGTTAGAACAGATAAAAGGAAGTACTTCTTAACCCAAAGAGTGATTAACACATGGAATTCACTGCCACAGGAGGTGGTGGCGGCTACAAGCATGGACAGCTTCAAGAGGGAACTTGATAAACATATGGAGCAGAGGTCCATCAGTGGCTATTAGCCACAAGGTATAGATAGGAACTCACAGGCTGCGGCAGGTGATGCACTGTATTCTTGGCGCTTTGGGGGGGGGGGCAACAGTGGGACGGCTTCTAGTGTCCTGGCCCCACTGCTGGACCTCCTGATGGCACCTGGTACTTTTGGCCACTGTGTGACAGAGTGCTGGACTAGATGGGCCATTGGCCTGATCCAACATTGGCTTCTCTTATGTTCTTATGAGAGAACTGTGACTGACCCAAGGTCACCCAGATGGCTTCACGTGGTGGACTGGGGAATCCAGATTAGAGTCCATCGCTATTAACCCCTGCACCTTTTTCATGTCCCCGCTGCTGTGCCTTCTAGGAATGGCCGGGGGAAATATGGCATGAAATGTTAAAAAAAATCTGCTGAAGGATTATGAAAAGATTACGGCAGAGTGTGGAGACCAATCATCTACTATTTTGAGTGCCAATGGCATCCACTTGTTTGTTTTTCGAGGAAGGTTCAACTTGCCGCAAAAGCTGGGATGGAAAACACTGGGTATTGTATACTGAGGTGCTACAGGTGGATTTGATCCATTTTGTTTTCCTTTAAATCTTAGCAGGGCTTTTTTTGTAGAAAAAGTCCAGCAGAAACTCATTAGCATAATAGGCCCAGCAGCAGGAACTCATTAGCATATGAGGCCACACCCCCTGACTGCACCGCTCATTAGCATGTTAGGCCGCACCCCCATGTTACCAGAAGTGTGGTCATCCAGCCACACCCACCTTTTGCTTGTTATTCTGTTTACCTTGTTTGTTGTCCAAACCCAGGGCTTTTTTTGTAGCAGGAACTCCTTTGCATGTTAGGCCACACACCCCTAATGTAGCCAATCCTAATGAGTTCCTGCTGTTGGGTGTGGCCCATTATGCTAATGAGTTCCTGCTGGGTGTGGCCAACTTGGGAGCCAGCCGGAACTCCGTTCCTGTGCGTTCCTGCCCCAAAATAGCCCTGAATCTTAGTACATTTACCCTTCACAGTCAAGCTGTATTTGCCTGTTGGGAAGTTGGCTTATTCCCAGGTGAATCTCAAAAGTTGCCCTCTGGATGGAGCAAGCGGCCAACAGGCACAGGTGCTGTGAAGCTGTGCTACACTTCTAAGAGGAGCGAGGAGGAGTGGGGATCGGCCTCATGTGGAACTCACACCCCCTTACTTGCCCCAGTTGCCAGCTATGTGGGGGGGGGGAGGTGACAGTAGTTACTCAGTGAGGGCAGAAGGCACCCTGCACATGCTCAAAGGTGCTCTTGTCTTTATTATTACGTCGCATTCTCCATAGCATTGGGGGAGGAAGGCTTCTGAGGGTTACGCCGCTGTGAGCCTCGTCACAAATCGAGCTGTACTGCTGAGGAGGTTTCATCAGCTGGTGTGAGGGAATGAGAGGGGGTGCACACGAGCCCTCAGCACGCCAGGGAGTGGGAGCAACAGTGGTGGCTTGTTAGCCGTGGTGGGGCACTCACGTGACGCAGGAAGCAGCCCCCGGCGCGTGATGGGTGGCTCATGCATCCCTCCAGCTCGCCGAGGAGGCTGCTGCTATGGAAGGCCGCCAGCTGGTCCCGCGTGGCCCGCAGAGCGCTGCCCAGGCACCTCAGTTCAGCGGTCAAGGCCTGCCCCCCAGGTTCCTTGGCCAGGGAGAGAGGCTGGGCCAGGGCGCTCGCGTACTCCCGCTCACACTCTAGCATCTCTGCCAGAAGCTGCTGTTGGACCCTGGGGAGAAAGAGGACGGGAAGCGATCACACACTTCTCCTTGACGCTGTCTGTGGAAAGAAGGTACCGTCCAAGCAAGGATATAGACTGCTAGTGTGCGAATGACCTGGCGGCGGGTTTTGCGGTGCTGCTGAAAGTAACTGACAGGGAGACAGGCAGCTCTGTCTATCAGGAAGTCAGCAGGGCTTTTGCAGAACTAACTCCCCATCGTGAACAAGGCTTGCACAAGGCATAACAACCTGAAGACCTGCAGCCCGTCTTACCATCTGTATCTACCAAAAAGGAAGACAACCTTGACTGTAAGACACGCACTCCTATAAAAAAGTTACAGAGAAAATGTTTTGTTTTCATTACCATCCGTATGAGATGGTTTGATTTGTAATTTGTATGAGAATTTAAGATGACCCCCTATTTTTTGAGACAGCACTTCTAGGGAGGAAAAAAAAAACTTCCTTTCCAGTAACTAATGGGACAGGGAATAAGAGGTGCCATTTGGACTATCCAGCACCAGAAAGTCCTGGGCTAGCCAGGATTGTGTGCTCGTCTCTCGAGAGCTGCAAAGTATTTGTGCGGCCTTCCTCTCAGTCCCAACCCTGAATTGCAACTGTGCCATAAAGGCTGCCTGAAAACGCTCTCCCTCCTGCCTGCTCCTCTACTCACCCAAGGCAGCGCCTTCTTTCCATGCGGGGCGTGGCCCCCCAGGGGGCTTCAGCGACGTGGGGCCCACTGCGACTTAACAGCACATGCTCGCGGGGTGAGCAGCTCCTATCCGCCAGTTCGCGGCTGCTGACCTCCAGGCCGCGGATGTGCACGCTGGGGCGGCCCGGGTCACTCAAGGCCCGCAACGCCAGGGGAGAGGCAGGAGACACAAGCATGTGGGGGCTGGCAGGAGAACCCCCCTTCTTCTTGCTGCTCTCCGCAGGACTGTTTCGGGTAGGGGAACAGCAGGGGGAGGCCTTGGGGCTGGGGTGCGGCTGGAAGAGGGACGTCAGGCTGCAAGAGGAGCCGAACCTGCCGCTCAGGCCCCAGCCATGCTTCGGCGAGGAGGAGGTGCTGATGCTGCAGGCGCGGGGCCGTGGGGCAGCGGAGGCTTCCAGCACAGCCGGCATCTTCCCTTGGAACTTGGGGCTCAGCAGCAGTGTCCTCTCCAGGGAGGTCCCCTCAGCCACCCTCTCGACGGGCCTCCTCTCTTCTACGCTGTCACCAGTCGCTTGGAGGCTCCTCCTTTCTCCCCCCGTTTGCTGTTGAGCCTGCATTGGAAGAGAGACAGGCAGGACTGGCAACCTTGGGCACCGCATTTGTTTATGTATCATTGCACTATGGTGCTCAGCCTTTTCAGCGGGCTTTCAGCCTCCAGCAACAATGCTGAGCTACTTATTGAAGATAGTTCTTCCAAGATATAGAAGGGCACTCATGCTAGTGTGCCTGAATGCCCTACCTTCAGCTGTGATGTCAGGAAGATTTAATGGGATTTCATACTCGCATCAACTCTGTAAATGTGGCAGGAATAAAATTGACTCTGTGGATCATACTTTACTGGATTGTCCCAAATTTTCAGCTCTAAGAGATGAACTGATCTCCCCTTTATTTAATCAGGACTTCCTCTCTCCAGAAGCAAAATCGTCCTGGTTACTTAGAGACGAAGACAAACAAACCACTCTGCGTGGGGCAACATTTCTAGCAGCTGTCGTCAAGTCACATGACAACTTTTGCAGTGGCAACCTTTAAATTCTTCATTGTTTTCCTGTGGAACGAGGTTTATTGTGGGATGAGGGCTTGCTGTTTATGACTCTGGTTGCAAAAACAGTAAAGACAATAATAATATTCTCCCCAGGGGAGACTCCAAACAGCTTGGAGCATTGTTTCTCCTCCTCCATTTTCTCACTACAACCCTGTGAGGCAGGTCAGGCTGAGAGTATGTGACAAGCCCAGGGCCACCCAACGAACTTCCATGGCAGAAGTAAGGATCTGAACCCAGGTCTCCCAGGATCTTAGTCTGACATGCTATTCACTATACCATGCTAGCTCTCTGAGCAAATCAAGAAAGCCTGAGATGTAGGGAAGAAAGACAGGACCGAGGACCTTGGACAGCCCCTGAAAGCTTTTGTTGGTGCACTGCCCTGCTTCCTGTAGGCACCATACCCATTGTATTGTGACCTTTTTATCAGGTTGCCACTTTGAGAGCCAGTTTGGTATAGTGGTTAAGAGCGCAGACTCTAATCTTGGAGAACCGGATTTGATTCCCCACCCCTCCACATGCAGCTGCTGTTGTGACCTTGGGTCAGCCACAAGTTTTCTCAGAGCTGTTCTCTCAGAGCCTCACTCAACTCACAAGGTGTCTGTTGTGGGGAGGCGAAGGGAAAGGAGATTGTAAGCCGCTCTGAGACTCCTTCAGGTAGTGAAGGGTGGGGTATAAATCCAGTCTCCTCTTCTACTTTAGCAGCTGCACAATACAAAGAAATTCAAGAGCAACCAGTGTTGTGTAGTGGTTAGAGGGTCAGACTGGAATCTGAGAGACCCAGGTTCAAATCCCCACTCTGCCATGGAAGCTTGCTGGGTGACTTTGGGCCAGTCACAGGGTTGTTGTGAGGATATCGGAGAAGGGGAGAATGCTTTGGGTACAAATGAAGACAATTAAAAAACAATAACAACAGAAACAGCTTCCCCTATCGTGGCATCCACACTCATGGATATTGAGGTGTCTTGTCAGACGTATCTGCCCTGTCCCTACATCCTCTGAGCTGTTTCTGCTCCCCCCTGCCAGCTCCTGCATTCTGTCCTCCTCAGAGTAATGCATACTATAGAGGCACACACACCCCGTACATACATAACACACACAGGCTGAGGAAACCAGGCCTCTTGCAGCAATGACCTGTGAAAACCAAGACATCCTAGGATCTAACTAATGCTAACAGTCACGCTGCTAGAGAATAAGATAATGGCTACTCTTCTCCTTCTCCTTGGTCAAAGACTGGAAGGTCAACAATAAAGATTGTGAATACATGCATACAAGATCAAAGGAACTTCTTCCAACACGATGCTAACTGACCAGTAGAAAGGTTACAGGTCAAAACCTGGTCTGGGTCCAGCCTACCTGAGGGACCGCCTTTCCCCGTATGTTCCCCCAAGAGCACTACGGTCTGGGGCCCAAAATTTACTAACTGTCCCGGGCCCCAGAGACGTAAAACTGGTCACTACGAGGGCCAGGGCCTTTTCAGTGGCGGCCCCTGCCTGGTGGAATGAGCTCCTGGAGGAGATCCGGGCCCTGTGGGATTTGATGCATTTCCGCAGGGCTGGCAAGACGGAGCTCTTCCACCAGGCTTTCAAGTAGGGGCCGCCGCCGCCCCACCCGCTGCTATATTTCCATCATGGGGGGTGGAAGAGGCCCTAGGAAGGGAACATCTGAATTCTTTAACATCTGAATATTGAAGCCACTGAATGACCACTGGGAACTTCTGGACATGGTCCGTCATCTTTTTGGGGGGGTTTGGAATTGAAGATCATGGAGCACTTTAATTGTATGGGGACTGGTTTTAAATTGTATAATATGTTTTTAAATATAGGAATAATATGTTTTATTGCTGCAAGTTTTCTTGCCCTGTAAGCCGCCTTGAGCCCTACGGGGGAGGGCGGGGTATAAATCTGATTAATAAATAAATAAATAAAACACCTCCTATAAAGTTTTCCTGGGCAGAGTAAAGAGTACTTGTAAATGGGTACAGGTTACATCAAGTCCTTTTTACTAACAACTAACAGTATCAGTTAACCCAATAATGACTGAAATGTAAGCGACCTGTAAATCCAATAGAGCCATCCCTTTCAAACGTCCCGGCAGGACAGATGTCCAGGTTTTGAACAGCCCTGAGCGTTGACTTTCTACAGACCAAGAAAACGGATTTTTAGGCCCCATCCCGTCCTGACAATATCTGCCTGATTTCTCTGGGCTCTTCACCGTTCAGCTCCATTATAGGGGAGGCTGGGAGAAGACTGATTCTTCGGAGGCTCAGTTTTCAAAGACAGTTAAGCACAGGCCTGTCATTAATACAAGCTCACAAGTGTAAGTTCTGACCCCTGGACTTCAAGACCCCAGCTTCCTCACAGGAACATAACGAGCTGCTTCAGAAATTACCTGTGTGTTTTCCCCTTCTTTCTGCAACACCTCCAGGCGCTGGTTGCTGAGCTGGACCAGACTGTGAAGGGCCTCGTCCACCTCTTGATAGAGCTTTGTGACAGCCGCAGTCTCTGTGCTACAGAGAGAAACAGTGGGTCATTCTGGCTTCTCCTTGCCCCACAGGGTAGCATCCTGGCAGGAGGCGAAGGAAGACCTTGCAAGGGTCAGATGAATGTCAGTGGGGGATCAGGCAGGGAACAGAACATATTTAGGAGCCGCCAGGTGGCAATGACTTCTCTCCCAGCCATTTTGTACTATATAGCTTGTGGGGTCCATTTGGAGTGAAAAATGGCTGGGGGGAGAGAGGATGACATATCCG